AATAACTTTTACTTATTTTAAAACTCGTTGCGGTACGTAGGCACTGACTGTCGCAACAGGGAGACTTCTATGCAGCCATACCTACGTACCACCCACACAGCATCCCGGCCTCCTCTCTCCCAATCTTGTGAAACATTCGTCGCGCACCACAGTTGTCTTTATCGTTTCCTTAAAGCTAGAGAGAAACAGTCGAGAGTTTCGATGTGAATCGATAAAATTTCTCAACGATCACGCAGTACTTCGTCGGGTACTCATAATCAACGGCTCAGCTATTATTAAGACAACCCACACGTTTTATTCTCGCAAACTCCTGTCAAGAGTTTAATGCCCTTCTACGCATTGCACGCAGAATTTCATCCGATTTTTTTTTCAAAGCGACACGTCTTGCCTTTACAATCTTGTTACTCTACTTCCATAAATGGGAATTTTAACCACAATTAAATATTGTACAATTATACTACAAAAGAAATGCTATGGCTGCAATATGGTATTCTTTTGTCTTCAATTTAAATTAAAAATGCCTGACAATCCGAGACATGCCATTTATTCTTACCATAGAATCTGTCTCTTGTCTGTAAACTTAAAAAATTATAAAACATATTTATAACTATAAATATGTATTAACACATATCACTAATACAAAATATAACTGTAGACGAGCTTTGAGCGAGGAACGATCGGCGCCGCACGCATCAAATTATATCGTTTCTTGTGCAATCTACATTTAGATGAACCGTTTGTAATACGTCTCGTTCATTACTGCATAACTATTATTTACGATGTTAAATATCAAAATGAACGGACAATAAATAAATAGACTGAAGTCTGAAAGTGGAAGTATGGTACTTTCGTGTTAAAAAGATGCAAATCAAAGGCTTACTGTTAGAAACAGTTATGGGGCTGGCGGTTTATATTATATTCGCCATCATGTATTTTGCCGGATAAGATATAAATTATCAAGTTTGTAATATAATGTTGATGATTATGTTGGTTCAATCATACAACATATCCCAAGCCGTTAAACAATAAAAATAGTAATAAAAGTTACTATTTCTAGTTACGAACCCAAGCAACCGGGTATAACGGTTGTTAGAACAGCTCCTTTGTTGATGATTGAATCACTGCCACTCGTCCTTCTAAAGTCAGCGATCTAAGCCCAACATTGCACGTTAATGACTAACAAGCCACGCGGTTAAATTACCAATCACTCGTTCACGTGTTAGCTCCACGTTAGCGCGATCATTCCGTTTCATTTTATCTCTGTAGTATAGTATTCTCGGGTCGAAGAAATTACTAATATTACAATTAAGTAAAGGATTTTCTTTTATGTGAAAAGGTGGAAAATTTGCAGGCGGTTCAACGATAAAATGTCAATGGGCGGCGGTTAAATGATAACGGCCACCCATTGACATTTGCAACACCTGTGGTTGCAGATGCGTTGCCACCTTTTAAAAAAGTGAGCTCCGGGTACCTTACGCACCCAACGAAACGCAGAAGTATGACACCTCCAATTCATGCCGGTCTTCTGTGAGGTCGTATTACTTATCCGGATGGACCTGCCCATTCGTGCAACGGAGAAGACTGTTGCGTGGCCCTACCACAGATAAGATTACTCAGATATTACTAGATAGTACTTTAGTTTTTGTTTTTATCACTATATAGTGCTTTTGTTAGATGTTACTTTGTTTTATATTAATAAAAGGTCTTAAGTCTAATCTCATTATTTCACGCGCTCTATAATCCTGTAATAAATCAGTCAATTAATAATATGGAGCATTAAAAATATAATCTCTCGATCTAAAGCAATTTTAGGTGCAGTGACCTTTTAAAAGTATCAATGAACAGACTCACACGAGAATCGTCTACGTTTTGTGCTAGACAAAATGTCAAGGAATTCAAACCCAAACAACATTAATTTAGATACAAGCCAAACATTTATAAGTGGTAGTGCAATTTTTATATTTATAAGCGGCCCCTTATAAATTCAATCTGTCACACTTATAATCTTGTAGTCTAGACAAAAGCATAAGAGGGCAATGTCCCTAATACTAAGCGTATTAAGAATAGGATATTGGCACGCTCGTCTAGCAAACGAGGAAGACTTTTCGTTAGTAAAAACGAGAATCTGTCCCCGTGACACATATTTTTAGTATAAAGTTAGAAAATATTGATATACCTACCAAGAGGAAAAATATTAGACAGTTACTAAATCTGAAACGAAACTCAAGTTAAACATTAAAATAAAACGTATCAAGACCTTACAAATGTCGTTAATAATCCTTCATTACAAGTGCGGTTTTATTGCTATTGTCATTTAAACTTTTTACAGCCTTGTATTAAAATTTCATACAATTTATCTTAAATGTAAGGTATTCGTAACAACAGCTCGTTCGATGTAAGCAAAGCTATTGAGGTTATCGATATCGGTCGTTGGGCACATTTCGCACGATTGTGGACTCAGCATTAAGATGACTGGACACAGTTTGCATCGGCCAGCGCGCTAAGTGAGTTTCCAACTTCAGACATCAGTTTACGTCCCGGGTCGGCGCCACAGGCGATTACTTCGACAAGATTAGAATAACTAGCGTACGTATCATGATAATAACATGGCCGTGCGTGCTTATTAAGTGCGATATTTTGCATGAACAATCGAACAGGTGGCAAATCAAAACCGGTAGTTGTCTAGTGGCTCAGGACACGCGATATGAGGTCGAAGATTTGAACTCTGATAGATTTTCCGTTTGTATTATTTCGTAAAGGCGAATATTATTTCACATTTAGCCTAGTCTGGCGACTGTCTCACTAAATTCGGAGTCTTCAAATTGTTAAGTTTTGGAACTAATACTTTGGAACTTGAACTTATACTTATACTGGATATTATGTTCTTGTACTTTAATACCTCGATAGGCGTAGTAGCAAATTCACCGTACACACATTGGTGTTTACAGCTACACTAACGATACGAAAAAATAAAACGTGTTATAAATCAGAAGATTTCAATGTCGCTTACTTTCTTTGAACACTAAAAGCTGATTCGCTATACTGTGCAAAAAACCGGTTGTAGGTTTTCCGCTATGTGTAGGTTACAATGTTAATCAACAACTCTATATTTGTACTTAATTTTCTAGTTTCATTCTCCTTGCCTTGGTAATTCACATAATTATATATCCAGAACCAGAAATGAGGCGCCGAACCATAAATAGCGTATCTACTTCGATTTCTAAGGCATTCCTTTATGCCTGAACCAGATGTTGCTCACAAGAAATTTTTCGTAGGCGTGATATCAAGACAAAATTTGTAAATCTGAACAAACTAAGACCTAACAATTATAACTACAACAATATTTGTATCCCGAAAAATTCAATGAATATAATCACTGTGTCATTCGCCGTGTGCTCTATATTACCATTGAGAACCAAAAAGCACGAGATATTTAACAATAGAGAATTATAGTACTAACCCTTTCCGGGTTCATCATATATCAAAAGAACGAAGCCTCTGCCATATTTTCATTCACTCAAAATTATAAAAATCAAATCCATCAAATATTGCAAAGTTTGTTTTGCTGCTGTCATACGGTGAGACAATTTAGTTAGTACAAAAAAACTGTTCTGTTTGTTTAGTTTTTAACGATCTCTTTTTGTTTATTACCCGACTGCGCCAGGAAGGTTATGTTTTTCGAGAGTATGTATGTATGTATGTATGTACAAATTTTTGACACGCTCTGCAGTCTGAACGGCTTGATGGATTTTAGCTTGAGAGGTGTCGTTAGATTCGTATTTACTGTGAGAGTGACACTGGGTACATCAAAATAAAAAATTAAACAGCAACGCACTCGGGTTTTTCATTTTTTTAAATTATATTGTGGGTTTAGTGTTTTCCTAAAACCAAACGCGTAGCATATCGAACACGTTAGTCTTTTCAGAGAACATTCGTGGCGCTGTATAGTGTTACTTACTTATATATGTATATATGATTGGTTACCGTCAAACGGGGTGAATGGGCACAGAATTGAACTTTGGGTAAACTTATCACTATTAATGCCTCAAAGTATTTTATTGATGTTGGTATCGAAACTTGAGTCGCATCCTGAGGTTTCATAAAGTCTTAACACTAAATCAAGTAAAGCACCCAGTTTTACATTTTTTTTTAAATTATAGGTCGTCCCTATTTTAACACGAAATGGAGTTAATAGGGACGATGATTGGCACTATAGGGAAAAACCGTCAGGGCTGTCACAATAACAATTTTTGTACGATATGTAAGTAGGTAGCGTATTAGTAATTAAGGTAAGTAGTGTAGTTAGATAATTTTACTTTGAATAAAAACAATTTGTAAAACAATTGTTTTATGAAAATAAACTTTATTATTAAAATAAATAATTTTAATACAATGGAAAAAAATTTAATCAATTCTCTCTTTATAGTAAAATCAGAATATTAGTTGGGTGAACTTAAAACAGCCTCTTATAATAAATAAATTATTCAAATAAAAAAACTTACAACGACAATAAATAAAATCTTAAAAATGTCAAACTTTAGTAAGACTGTAATGTAACTATAAATTATCATCCATGAGATCACGTAATATTTCTGTTTCATTTTTGTAAATATGTGGCCTTTTAATTACAATCCTATCAGAACATTCGTGGCGCTGTATAGTGTTACTTACTTATATATGTATATATGAGTGGTTACCTACTGGTTATACTTTTTTTTATGTCAGACGGTGGCGGGTGTGGTGGGTAATAACGGCTGAATGTTAACATTTGCAACACCTATAGGGTTGCAGATGCGTTGCCATCTTTCAAGAAAGTGGACCCGACTACCTCGCTAACCAGACGCAACGCCGAAGTACACCACTTCCACTTCACGCTTATCTTCTGTGTGGTAGTTATAGTTACCTGGGCGGACTTGTCCATTCGTGCAACAGAGAAGACTGTGTGCGTGGCCCTACCACAGTTAATAATAATATGCATTATAAAATTACTTTTGTTACAGAACACTGGCTGCGTTGACATGCCAACCGATAACTGGTGCCCTCTCCACCGAGAGCAGTTGGTGTCGGTCCGACAGCGGACCGAACAGGGAACTTCTGGCAACCCTACTTACAGGGAGATGACTGTGCATGTGGGAAAACAAGACATCATTAGCTACGAAACGATTGAGCCCAAGGTATATATAGATACATAAATACATACATCCATATAAATGGCTCGGATCTTAGTCTCACGGGGTGTTAAAAGTAATATGGTACTAATAAACTAAACTAAACTCGACCCATATCATTATCTCATTCGCTACTAGCTGTAACTCTCAACTATTTCTTTAATAGTAATTTAATTTGAATTACCAGTATTTGATTTACCAGTAATTGAAGTTATTTCATTGAACTATTTTAAAATTTTCGAAGACGCAGGAAGCGCGCTCAGTAAGTTGTACTCCGCGGCATCGTTGGTCGTGGTTTCAATTCCAGCGCGGTACAAGTTTGTTTTTTAAGTCCGACCAACAATTTGTCCGGTTCTGGATGTGTGTTTACGGGCTATCAACATTATTTCAGCATGTTAGATTCCACTGCTGAATATAGGCAAAAACTAATTTTTAAACGGGACTATGTGATCCTACAATATACGTACAATGTTTACCAAATATGGATTTCGTAACGCTTAATTTCGGAAGTGTTTCAGGGATATTAAAAACAATTTAAACACCAAACTATTACATATTTAAACCATAACATAGACAGCTATAACGTAAATGATATTCCCCGTTTTACTGAGCTTATGAAGCATCAAAATATTATAGATTAGCTAATCTAAATAAAATGTAATCTATAATATTTTCCGTGCTAATGATTCTATATTTGAAAGATTGTTTTTTGCACGAAAAAATTAAAAAAAATCATCATTATTGGATCCTACTCAAATACTCAATATAGGGAATTTAACCAGGAACCTGATCGCGCGTCGTCGTCTCCCACTGGGTCACAAATATTAACAAACATTTAAAATTGATTTATACGCTTAGTTATTAATTATTGTTTACACGTCCCGTAAACGGTATCATAAACATTAAAATATACAAGCCAAGTTATTTAATTATCGCGATCGTTATCATGCATAAAGACATTCAATTTATAATGTAAAACGGCCGTCTACTTAGCAAACAATAAGGAACGACAACAAAGCAATGTCTTCAGGACGTGATATAATTTTGATCGTTCGCCGATTGTCATTCAACAGGTCAGAATCTTCAACACAACGCAGACCGACGACTTCCACTATAAGACGGCCAAATTCGGTGGCAAGGATAATTGGTACGTGGAGGTCTCGCCCGGTTTCGGGTTCTGCACCAAAAAGAGCAAGACCTTGGAAGAGGTCTACTTGGAGATTGACGTTGGTGACGTCAAGGAGATCGTTAAATACCACGTGCCCTGCAGCTGCCCGTGCAGCGAGCGAGCAGAGGTGTTCTCTAGGAAATGCAGCAACAGAGGGACTTATGCGTGCGGTGTTTGCTCCTGCCCAAGCGGATGGTACGTCAAGCAATTCCCTACTTTCTAATTACATATCACAAGGGCTAAAATTACCTGCGTCCAGCCGCGAACCACTTAATTGCACTCGACAACACCCGCTTTGTTCGACTAATCTCTGCAAAGTTAATTATAGAGGCCTGAGAGGCCTACTTTCATCTTAATGGTTGGTTCATTAAAATCCAGCCCATTACGTGCGTAATAATGATTAAAAACATCAATGATACTAAGCCGACGTTCAAGTTCCGACTTTTCCTCATTAACGAGACCCAAAAAAATAAAATTGGGTGTTTGGATTTGTAAATATAACAAAATAGAGCCGATAACAACGTCCTATTAAACTTAATTGATTAAAGAGTGCACTTCTGTCTCTGTCGATAACGTAAATTGTTATTTCTCTTTCAACTAACATGTCCTAGGCTTTACTTTGATAATCTTGACAATTTTTGTTGTCACCATATCAGCACAATTGAACATTGAATATTGTGATATAAGTATTAAAGAGAACCAAATGTTTCTCAAAAGCCAGAATATAAATCGTGGTCAATCATGTCCAAGTATCAGTCCGACCGTACCAACTTAAATTTAAATGCATTCAAAACAAACACGCTGACGTACAGATAATTTACTATCGTGCATATGTTAAGGATACGCTAAAATTGTAGCCCTTAGCTGGTTCCAGATCGTTACCACGCTACATTGGCACTGTGACAAAAGGAAACCGTTTGTTAAATAAGTTTATCAGATATTCATAATACTAGATCTGTATTGTTTGAACGATCGGCGATGACATATATAGATATTCTACAATTGCGATTGTTATTATACTTTGGAAAATCTTAGTTTACTCGTTATACGTATATAAGTAATAATAATGCTTGCAGATTTACAGTTCCTGTTAAAAATATACAAGAATGATCTAGTGAATGTTCGCTGAGTAATCCTATTGTTTTTTTAAGATTTCTTGTATCCAGAAGTTGCTATCATACGTTTGGGGGCCTTAAAAATACTCAGAAGCTAATTTCCGGTCATGTATAGATTATAATAAATAAGGGGAATGTGGACACGTATTAACTATAATAATTACTTTCGATTTTTGATTGAATCTTGTAATACATCATACTCTCACTGAATTTTTGAATGTTTGTGATAATAGGTCGGGCAAGTCCTGCGAAAAGAAGGAATGTCAAGGTATCCGTGGAGATCTTCAGTGCACAAATCCTGCCATGAACGACGTGAGTGTTGACATATCTCTAAATATGACTTGGTTTAAATATGTATAATTTCCACTATATCGCACTCCTTCCTTTTATGTATGAACCTATGTAACATCTCTCACTTACCTTCAAGCTTATCGCGTTCCTGTCGTAAAACAAACATGTCTCTAGACCGCGACTGAACATTACAAACTCTCTAAATAGAAAAGTAATTTTATACCTTCCAGATTATTTCATGTATTTCAAAATTATCTAGATGCATATAGAGACTCGGAATAATATCGCTTTCAATTTTAATACCATGAATATGTATTTAGATTTTCATCACTGAACCATCTGTATGACTATCATGCTTAGGCTTTTAATGTGAAACTTCATACCACACGCACTAAGATAATTTACTTTTACTTAACCTAATGTTTTTTCCATCAATCCGTAGACTATTAAAGCTTCACCGAATTCGGAACTCGTGTGCTCGCCAGCGAAACCCAACAGCTTGATACGGTCTTCCGCATTTGGTAGAGCCGTCGTGTAAGACCGCGACTAAGATAAGATTTTATTTGTCGCAAAGGAATTTGCATATACAATCGTACTAGGACTCACATCCACACCAAAGTCTGTAGGAGGGAGCCATCGACTCGAAGAATTCGAACCGAGCCTTTTAACGTCTCGACAACCGCCAGACGTAATTTCCCGGTGACAATTGCTTCAAGTATTCCACTTCTCGTGACTCATTCCGACCGGTCACCTCAACGAAATCTAAAGGAGCGAGCCGTATCGTCTGAATGTCTCACGCTGCCGCCACATAGAACTCACCGGTAACAATCGCTTCACGGACCCGTAGGTGGAGTGCTCAGGCAACGGCTTCTGCGGCCCGTGCGAGACGTGCGAGTGCTACGCGGACCGCCCCGGCTCCAGGTACTTCGACAAAGACAACTACTGCGCCGACATCTGCATGGCGGCGAACGACTGCGACGAGTGCCTGAGCAGCCCTGCCCTCGGCCGCTGCGCCGAGTGCCACTTCCCGCTGGTCAAGTTGCAGTACAACGGGACCTTGGCGGCGGAGCGCGACGCGTTCGGCAGGGGCGTGTGGGTCACGTGCAACGGCACCGTCGACGAGTGCCGCGTGGAGTACGCCGCGATGAGGGACGAGAGCAGGGACGTGTACGTGATGGTGGTCAAGCTCTGCGAGCACAGCAACGAGGCGTCCGTCGCCGGCGCCGTCAACGGTGAGCCTTTCGTTGATGTTCATTTTTTAACAGCCGTCAACTCTTCTGCTGTGGGAAGTTGTGGGTGTCCGCGAGCGGTGGTTATCAGTTGACATCGGTCTTTGCCCACTGTTTCATGAGCTGACACTTCTGCTATATATCGGGAGTTGAAGACGTCTTTGGGCGGCGAAGAACCGCCTGCTACTTGCCAACTTTTCACATAAAAAAATGTATACAGTTTATTACTTCCATACTGATTTAGCTGTTTCGATGTACACCTTACGAAATCTTTCTGCTGGTTGGTGATGCGTTATGTCAATTAATCTGGCATCGGTGGTCGACAATTCATTAATGGCCGCACTTGGAGAGTAGCACTTAGCTATCATCAATTTCGAGGTATATCTTGTCACCCATATACATAAAGACATATTATGGTAGAGCCGACAAAAAATCACCACAGTGCCATAAGAGTGAAAATATATAATATATAATGGCATCGTCAGTATCTTTAGCAGCTTGCCACAATTGTAAAATATACTACATACTAAAACATACATGAATGTTTGCTGTATCTACATCTTATACAAGTTTTACTAATGGCAGAGATAAATTCTATAAATAAATTTAATGCTTTCTCAGCTATAATTAACGTCACTTAATGCGGTCGTAAGTCCACAAATTCATATATAAAATGTGATTCGTTACTATAACCATTAATTATAATGATAAACAAACAAGTTTTATTATCATGAACGTCACAAAGTAGAGCCGATGCCATCATTGACAAAATTGTTCTCTAGTCTGTAAAATGTTTCTATATACTACTCGGGGCTTAAACAGGTGCATCCTATAATACTGTCGTCACAAATGCGTATAAACAAAGACGACAGTTGAATTTCGTCCGTCTGTTTATTCCTTTACGTCCTAAAGAAATAATTCCCTGTCCCTTTTTAACGTACTGGTATAACAATTGGTGTTGATACGTAGCACTAATTGTCTGGCTTGTTTGACAACTTGTTTGTTTGGGCGTCTGGTGTTGACCGGCCGTTTTTGAATTCCTAATATGATATTGTTATCCACACGGGTCATTGTGTTGGAAATTTACGCGATAAATGCATTGTTCTATGCGTTGTACTAATTGTTTCGTAATAGTAGTTAACATTATGACAGTTTACAAATATCGCTTTGCAATTACTTATCAATCGTTTGAAACAAGTTGAAAACGTAATTTGGAGTATTATTCGATTATTTAATTACAACATAATTGATAATATTTAGGAAAGGATAGTTCCCGAAATTATGGAACGGTATATTTAAATTCGTATGTATAATTTAACGACGTGCAATACAAAAAGTAACACTGCATCATACACCGTCGTAAAGTACTCTTGAAATAGAAGGTACGTCTTGTAAATATAACAACCGGGGCGAACAGTACTTATAATAAGAAAAAATAGTAAATGTTCCAAAAATTATAGAAGAGGTCTGAATTGGCCATAATCGCACCGGGGTGGAGGAAGACTCCATCTTCGTCTTCCCGCGTCCCTGGCCGATGCGACAGAACCTGCAATGTAGGCTTTTTAGTACCCGGCCGGGACTCTCAAATACCCCGATTTGGTGGCAGGGGGAGGATTTTTCCCAAGTTAAAAAATTCAATTCTTGGCGCATCTATTGTTTTTATACAGATTTTAATGTATCACCTTAATTGCAGAGATAAGCATTATAAAAATTAGAAAAGAAAATTGCCAAAAGTGACGGTACCATTCATTTAACTAATTGTGAATCGCCAGCCCGCTTACCAAATTTTCCTATGAAAAATTCCATCAGTGTCGATACGAGTCACCTAATTGTAAACCGTCAACTCGCTTACCACCTTCAATACATAAAACTATATAAAACCAAGTCGTCCCGCTCTCTGTCTGTCCCCGTGTATGTTTAAATCTTTAAAACTGCGCAGCGGATGTTGATGCGGTTTTTTTTTTACTAGATAGAGTGATTCATAAGAAGGAAGGTTCATAATACAGTAGAAGAACACTGATACTAAATATACTCTACCAGTATATTTAGTATCAGCATTGCACCCGTGCGAAGCCGGGTACGGGTCGCTTGTTTCCAAATAAAAATCCAACAGTGACGGTGCCAATCGCTTAATTATGACCAGCCGACTCGCTCGCCCCCTTTTCAATGAAAGCAAAATCCCCAACAGTGACGGTGCCCGTGGTGGTGACCGTTCTGCTGGTGGCGGCTGCCGCGGCCGCGACGGCCGGCTACCTCGTGTGGAAGAGCCGCCCCCCGCCGCTGCCCCTCGCCGACACCCAGTACCAGAACATCGGCGCAGAGGACTGCGTCGGCTCCAACCCGCTCTACATACCGCCCACCTCGTACTACAACAACCCGACGTACGGCAAGAACTAGTGTGGTGAGTAGTAGTAGTTTTACCCTTTTGACGACCCGATTGGTGTGGGTAGTGGACCTGCCCCCTGCACCAGAGGGTGTGTGTTCGATCGCCACCACTGGAAAAATATTATGTGATAAACGTTTTTCCAGTGTCTGTGTATTTATATAATATGTATTTATTTTTGATGACTCGACGGTGCCGTTGCTTAGCTGTGGCTACGGCATCGAGGGTCGTGGGTTCGATTCTCACAAGGGATAAGTATTTGTGCGACCCACACATAAGTGTATTGTGTGCGTCCCTGTGTTTGTTTTTCCCAAATGCCAGGCAGGCGGCTGGTCGTAAAAAACAGCCAAAATCGCTTACAACATGATTCACATGTTATGCCGATCAGGATAGAGGATAGAGGATAAGTACAGGAGGATGATGATGATGTATTGATTTAAAAAAATATGTTCAAATATGTTTATCAGTTATCTATTATGCATAAAACAAGCGCTGCTTAATTTGGGACTAGAGAAGGTTGTGCAAAACTAATACAATTAATGCTACTGCGTTATTCATAAAGCGTCATAAATAACGCATCTATGGCTCTGTTTGACCATTTTTTTTTTTCGTAAAACTGTTTTGCAATATTTGCTCTTAGACTGGATTGTACATAAGAATTTAAGAATATAAATCAGAAACAAAAGCCGTGCTAGTGATATGTGAAGACTGCCAATCCGCAGTGGGGTAGCATGGTGGACTATGCCCTAATACCATGCCTTTGCCAAGCGGTGGGACAAACATATATTATATATATAGGCTGTTTCATTACTTTACTTTTACTTTAAATGAAGAACTTCAAATAAGTTTTCCGCTAGCTAGCTCATTACATAAACTACTACTACTATCGTTAGTTATCACCGTGGAAACTTACATATGAAATTCGATAGACCTTCATGACCTTTGAGAGACCTTCGAGCAAAATACGAATGGGAACCAAATCAATATAATACATGCGGAAATTTGGATTTGAGTGCGATTTCTATTCACATAGGATAGTTACTAACTACTTATCTGTAAAGGAAAAGCTCTCAGGCGAAGACACAGAGAAGCTAACACCGATATAATAATTTACTCATTTTCTTTATCCATGTAGACTGCGTTCCAGGGCGGTTCTAGCCGCTTCCATTTAGCAATAAGGCCCACAACGCCTGTCTGTGTTGAGGTCTAAACCAGATTACACTTATGTACACACACATTCAAAGATAAAATCAGTTACACAAGTGGACCGACTCGCCCGGAGGACTACCACGACTTCACAGAAGACCTTCTCGATGTGGAAGTGTTATACTTTTTCATCTGGTCAGTGAGGTTACCGGGACCAACTTTATTAAAAGGTGGTAACGCATCTGCTATCCTACGGGTGTAGCAGATGTCCATGGGCGGCGGTTATTTTTAATGTGAAAAGTTGCCAAACGAGCAGACGCTTCACCTGATGTAGGGGCTAACCACCGATCATGGACATTTGCAACACCCTTAACGTTGCAACCTTTTAATAAAGTAAGCTCCGGCTACCTCACTTACGTTAAGTGAATACCGCCGCCCATGGAAATCTGCTACACCCGAGGGTTACAGATGCGTTGACGTTTTGAAAATTGGGCTCCGGCTACCTCACTCACCAGACGAAACGCGAAAGAAATTGTCATACTTCCACTTTACGCTGGTCTTCTGTGAGGACGTGGTACTTACACGGACGGGCCTGCCCATTCGTGCAACAGCCGAGGCTGCTGCGTGGCCCTACCACCGTTATCACTTAAATTGCTCTGTCTCGCTTGCTACTTCCTCACATAAAATAAAGATGTAGACACTAGACACGCGTGGTTGTAACATCCCCGTTATATCTAGTCAATTCTAGTCCATCCCTGGTTCGTGGACCCAATGACCTATGATCCTTTTCTTGGTATACAACTAGCAGGTAAATAACACTTTTAACCTCCTCTTTTCGCGGTTACGATGTACATTGTTTCTCCCTGGCTCAGTTATGACTTCTTAGCTTTTAATTTATAAATTAGACAATATCTGGGTGAATAAAGTTGTAACCATTCTTAACTACACGCGAAACGGTCAGTGACTTATATATTTGTTAAATTTTACAGTTTTTATGAGTAGCTAGCCTTTTTATTTTTGACTCATCGATGCTGATGGGTCTAGAGACAGGTGTCGATCCATTCTATTCTATCGAAAGCAGAAAAACAAAGGTTAATGCTATCTGAGATGCTTAAGTGTGTGCATTTTATCTCAATGTAGAGATAATTTTTCCATTCAATTAAATTGATAATGGAAGTTATTTATTTTAATGTTACAGTATCGATTCTTTTGTTTGGATTTCGAGAGAATTTGTTTCACAGCCATATTTTTAGATAATTGTCAGTGTCTAAACACTTTCAATGGTTGTATATAATTATGTTTGGTCTAATGCAACTTTATATTGAATATATACCGTGAAGTCAAAGAACAGTAAATGTAAATTATGTTTTTCTGACCTTAACTACCAATGAAAACCTTAACTACCAATGAAAACGATATCCCGCAGAAACGAATTTCCAATAGATCACTATCTAGAACCGGCTCACGCAACGATCGTTGGGATAATTGGACATTTACGTGACTTATACCTGTACACATAAAGTTCTACGGTCCGCATTCAAAGCAGTGACCACCAACACCGTTCGGTAATCAGGACACACGTTTCACGTGCCCTACCCACAGCGGAGGGTCCAAACCCGTGGGTCCTGGCTAGCCTATCGGTTCTGCGTCAGATGAAGCTTTAATAGTCTCGGGACTGGAAGCAAAAACATCAGTTAATACAAGATACAAGACGTTTCACGAATTCAAAATATCCGCATAAAGTTTAACATTATCGCAACCCGTGGAACATGCGCACTATAACTTTGCATTTACAAATGAAACATAATACTTTTAGGATGCTGTACCTAAAAGGTAAAACGGGACCCCATTACTAAGACTCCTCTGTCTGTCTATCTATCTGTCCGTCTGTCACCAGGCTGTATCTCATGAACCGTGATAGACAGTAAAAATTTTGATGATGTACACATTTTGATGATCATCACAGATGATGTATTTCTATAGCCGCCACACAACAAATACTGAAAAACAGAATAAAAAAATATTTACGTGGGGTTCCTTTGCAACAGAGATGATTTTTTTGCCGTTTTTATAAACAATAGTGCGGAGCCCGTCGTGCGCTGGCCGTGTCGCACTTGGCCGATTTTTAATGGTCGCTTAATGTGGGCATTATTGTCGTTGCTCAACGTGCACCTGTCTGCGTGCTTAAAGAAATGGGAGCTTGAAAAGGCTAACAATATAACAGCCGTCGAATAACACCAATAAAGACGGTAAAATATTGGATAAGTCCTTATGTATTGCAGAATCATAAAATGCATTTTAATATCGCAACACGGTGACAGCGAAATCCTACCCGGTCGGGTTGTTAGCGCACGTATAAATTACTAAAGTAGTATCCATTCACTGAGCGTAGTAAAGTTGTCCTGCGAGTGAGAGATGCAGACAATTTACATTCGCGGACGTGGCGAAAGATCAAGTATCGCAAAGCTGTTCTGGCTGCAAGCTGTGGGACGCCTTAAAATTTAATAATACCTTAAATAACCCGCCACATATTTTCTATATGTCACCGTTTTTTAATGTTTTGAAGGCATAAATAATTGTAAAATTTCACTTAAAAACGATCAGATTACTCATTCTATATTCAAGTTTCGTATTATTTGTAGCAATAAATAAGCAAGGAGGTAACAAAGACTACAAACGACAGTTATAATTCATTTGATAAATAATTTGAAAAAAAAAGCGCCAGCGACCGACTCACTCCATTGTGACAGCCTTGTGCTTTTATTGCGGTCAATTTATAACGAAATCGCAGAACCACTCACTATTAGCTGTTGCTGAGCTGCCGGGCTACGTGACTTGCATCAGAGGGTCGCCAGTATGCACCTATCTATACATACAGCATGTATAGATGTATCTGTACTATACTCGTTTCCTATACGACACATTGTTTTGGCTCGCCGCGTGCCTCGTGATAACAACATTCGGACACTGATGTCACTCGAACTTTATACGCTGCGTATCGCACTGGCTACTTTATTAGAGGTATTGTACCTATATCGGCACGTCTACGACTCGTTTTAAATTTGAGAAAAGAGGACGCTATAATATCCCTTCTAAATTACTTCTACGAAACATATTTTCGCACAGTAAATAGGTGTCTAGCATTTTCGGCTTCGATTTGAATTCTCGTAAATATTTATCGCTTGACTGGTAATTCGTCATCTTGGCCATTAAATCGATGGTAATCTTACCACTTGCCACCAGCAGTCGCCGCTACCAAGCCGTAGCATGTCATGAGTTTGGGTGAGTTACTTCAAACTCTACCACCACCCGAATTTGATACACGCAGTTATGAGATCAATAAATTAAGCAAAGTCTATAAGATCAATAATTAATACGTTAAGCTTTTGATTAGGTAAATTTTCCACAATGATTGGTTAGAACTCAGGTACTTATCCTATAGAAGTATTTATAACTTATGTAATGCATATTTCGAAACATAGTTAATGTAACAGTTGATGGAATATCACCGATAATTATTAATATGTAAATGCCACCGATAGGAAGTGGCGGACTGGAGGACTACTGACGAGAGAGAGCGAATATTATGAGTAGATATTATTTACTTACCACAAATTGACCTAGAAGTCATCACTCTCAGAGGCAAAATAACTAATTGGTAGTAGGGTTATAAAAGTGATTTTCCAGTGGTTCAAATCCATTTTCCATAAAGTACTTTTTATAAATTTTTAAAGGTTTTATAGTGCTAATCTCTGCACTTAAGATTGAACATTAAAACATGTAGCAAAAGTAAAAAGCTAATAAAAGATTAAAGCTAAATAACAATGTAGAAAGAAGGTGTTAAGATTTTCGTCGCTGTGGCTAT